CCCCCCCACACACACACACACTGCCCAGTGGAGCCTCTGGGCACCAATGCTCAGGGACTACAGGCCCCCCTGACACCCCACCACCTGGCCCTCAGGGGTGCGGGGCCAGAAGGAGGCAGGATTGGGGCTCTCGGGCCTCAGGGCTTCGCTGTAAGTGGGCGCTGAGAGCGGCCCTCTCAGGACACGGGGAGTGAACAGGAGTCGGTGGCTGGCGGGATTAAGAGAGTTGGGATTTGAACTGGGGCCGAGGCGACGTCAGAGCCATGTTCCTCTCACTTCCTTCTCCCTCCACACAGCGCAGCCTAGAACCTTCTGGGCCAGCCTCTCCCCAGAACAAACGGGGTTAATCTGGCCCTGCTGAGCATGGGCATGTCTCTCCTGGAGGAGGCAGGGGCTCCCTGGAATGCGCCCCATCTTATCTGCAGAGGTCTGCCCCAACTTGTCCTCGAGCGTGAGTGCAGGTTCAGTGACATGTGCAGTTGGCAGGTGGCGGGATTGTCAATCAGCCCCTTGTCAGCCTGCTGAGCGTTTGTGGGAGCGCCAGTGCTGTGGGCCTGGGGGGTGGGGAGGCTGCAGGTGGGTGAGGGGAGAGCAGACCGGGGAGAGCCCTTCTCAGAAGGCTGGCCCCGTGCCTCTAGACCCCCAGCCTGTCCTCAGTCTGACACCAGGAGCCCTACCCACAGAGCCCAGAGCTGCCCCCCCGCACCCCTGCCCCCGGCTCTGCAGTGGGGAAGGCAGAGTGGCAATGGAGAAGTGGAACCCCCCAATCGGAACAGAGAGTGGTAGCTGCCCACCTTAGGGTGGTGGTCTGGGGCTAGGGGCTGCAGAAATCCAGCCGCCCAGGCAAGAGTGCGTGCCGGGTGCCGGAGGGAACCATTCTAACTGCAGCTCTCAGGTGCCTGAGCCCTTTCCACTGGAGTGTGGAAGTGAACCTGTAATCCAAGTGTTAAAACCATGGCCCAGGGCAAGACACCGTTCATTCTGAATCATCTCTGTTGTTGCATTAAAAAAAAAAAAAAGAAAAGAAAATCGCCCCAACCCATTGGAGGTGCGCAGGCGGCTCTTTGTCAGAAGGCAGAAGGTGTTGGCCTCCGTGGGGGGGAGGAGACTCGGCGCCCACAACATCTCCAGGGTATATAAGCAGGGCCGGCTCCGGGGTGGCAGGCAGTGCAGCGGTTCTGGTTCTGCCAGCCCTGCACCTTCTCAGCCTTCAGCCTTCCCAGCTCCGGCACTTAAGCCTGGCCATGAGCACCGCCTTCCTGCAGCCCTCGGCCTTCGGGGCTGGCGGCTCTACCTGGGCAGCTCCCGGGCTGCGCGCCAGGGAAGCCAGCTTCGGTGGGGGGAGTCTCTATGGGGGCGGTGGAGGCTGTAGCATCTCC